GTGCATCCCTTCCTCCTCTCAACACAGCGCGTGCTGCGCTCGCTTCTCCCTTCCGCGCACCGCGCTACCTTTAGTTTTACGTGCGCCAGCTGTATGCAAACGAGCGCATGCTCAGGCCGGGGCCAGCGCTCGCTATAAATAACCGAGTGTCGGGGCGTTCCGCACTTCATCGGTTGGTTTGTGCGGTTGCTCCACGTCCGATGTCGCTGGTGAAAATGTATGCTAATGAATCCGCAAACACACTGACATCCCTTCCAATAGCGTCAGCCAATGTGTTGGCGGAACCGCAAGCAATTCCGACGACCACGTCTTTGCGAATTTCGACCTTCGACCGCTGCAACTAGACCCACTCACCCTTAACTTTACGCACCATAAAGCCATCTTGCTCAAAATACTCAAAGCGTCTCATCAATAAACATCGTCTTTCGCAGCATACGTACGTGCGTGTTCACTCGTGTTCAGTCGTGTTCACTCATAACACACACGCATGTCCCAAATTACAAACCACATTTATCGCAGTTCAACGTATATGCTCCGCATGCTAACTAGTGTTCCCACTCGGGAAGCTGCGGTCATTTTTTAAGCTAGGCAAAGCTTCATTTTCATTACATTAACTGGTTAAATGAACAGGAGGCATGTGCTGAGACACGCAAAGCCCAGAAAGGAGGGTTGTATAGTATAGACCTATTCTACATTTGTAAACAGTGGTACGAGCCGTCGACATACTGACGTGCATTGTAGTGACTCAGTGACGTGTTGGCTCTGCCCGGCCTAAAGCTCTCCACTGCCCACTATAATCACATGACTACTGGTACAGCGGCTACAAAGCTGTTTCCAAGCACAGTTTATCGGGGAACCTTCTGCACAAACTTGGGAGGTTGAAGCGTGGGGTTTGTTTGAAAGCGATGACGAGAGCATACACACGTAGGTGCCTTGGTTTAACGAAGAAATGATGTTCGTTTAAAAGGATTAAGAGCTCCACTTTTAAAAATCTTGCTCTATGTACGAGCTGACGCATCGAACGCTCCCAATTCTTGGCTTGTCACATACGAAAGTTGCCAAAAACTCGGTTGGCAGCGCCATTGTGACCTCTTGTGATGCTGAAATTGAATATCTTATGACACCTAGCCTTTTTGATGAGTGCCTATATAGGCCCGCTATTGGTTTAGACGTAAGAAACTGGCTCTTCATGACTTGTAGGTAACCAAGAGAGGTTCAGGGTCCCTTTGAAAAGGAACAAAAAATGGTGATGCGTCTTTGCAGCATGAAATCGATAGTTGTTGACTACTAACCAGTGCATAAAGCTGATATGTGGTATGGTCAGTGTAGGCAGCGAAACCTCAGGAGTTACTAATAAGTCAGGACTTAATAGTTATTAAACTGCTTGCAGAAAACTGGTGTCAACTAACTTCTTGTGTATTCATCGGTAAATTCCACAATGCACACCAACGCTTGCCGTTACTAAGAGCAACATGTAACCTATGGAACAGCTTTCTGACAGCTTTTACCCGTTACATCGAAATTGATTTCAGATATATATTAGCATCCATTTCTAAGAAACAGTAAACCAGATACCAGGAAAGCGAAAGATTTCAAGCATCAAGAGTTTGTTAGAAGAGTTACATCAACGTCATAAACGGCAACAAGATATGGGCTAAAACATTATTAAACCAATATACCAAAAAACCCTATTAGCAGCAACGAGATATTTGCCAATATTCTTAAATTGGTGGTTGGAGGTCTGGGTGCCGCGGGGCTAGCCAGCCTCGGTGTGTGCGCCATGGGAGTGGATGGAATGTACATGGGCTGCCTGTATGATTAGCAGGCCAATGGTTGTGGCTGGCGTATATCTCGATGGTCCTACACGGCCAGGTGTGGATGTGAATGCCGTGTGACCGGCTGACCTCGGCTGTGGCCCGGAAAACCGGGTGGGACACTTGAGTGCCGGCCACGGGCAGGACCTCGGGTGTAGGCGTGCGTAGGGCTCCCATTCGGGGGTGATTGTTGACCTCCATAGATTGTCTGCATGGCCTGTGGTTGGACGGCCTTGGGCTCATGATCTGGGAGTTCCAGTTTTTGCCCATCCACGCTGCTATCTTTGATATCTAACGTCAGGTTGGTCGAAGTCTCGGCATGCATATTCAAGCGCGGGTACTTCCCAGGAACGTACACCAGTGTGGGTCCACTTGCACCATGCGACGCTTGGGTGAAGGTAAGGCTGAGCTGTAGCGCACAGGGGTCGAAGCAGCAGAGTGGGCCATGGTATGGGTACTATGGTCTGTGGCAACAACGTGGTGGGCTTGATGGCTAGGTAGGAAGCAGCAAGGAACAGAGGACGTAGTTCCACATGCCTGGGCTGCGATGCCATCTTCTAGTATCGCTATTAGAAACGCGGCAGCGACTATAAAAAGCACCAAGTGGTCGCGGCCAGCTGAAGCTTTTCGAATGCAGACACTAAGGAATGTCAGCTCCTTCTATGGCGGACTCGATGCCTCGTGATTACTTAGCAAAGAATGATGACCGAGGGTCGAGATAATTATGATGATGGTGGTTGACACCACTTGGGACATTTGGGCACTTTTTTCTTTGAAAATATTAATTCCTCTTTTCATTGCAAAAAAGGGGGCCTCGTCTAAAGTGTCGTTCACCAATTATTATTGTGAATGATACTCCGGAAAACGGTTCTGACGCCCCAGGCCCATGCAGTGCTCTACCTGTAACAATATGCTGCGGAAAACTTGTTTTTTTTTTCTTTGAGGCGATAAGCTTGAGCCAAGAAGCTGGAAAAACACTTGTGGGGACAAGGAAAGCGAAGCACTTTCTTCAGAGCCAAGTTCGTGATAGCCTGCTTAACCAAATTCAGAGTGGTTTCGAAAACGGCAGGTATTGCTTATTAGCCCTTACTTCGTACGGCTACACTTAATGTTGTTCCCTGTAAAACATCCTTATGTCAGGGAAGTGCAAAATGTCATGTTTCGGCATTACTTTGTAACTATGGGTGGTTTCGAAAACTGTTTTATGACTGACCACAAGAGAAGCGGCAACCGGCAACGTGACGAAACGCTCTCTTCACATTTGACGAAAAATTCGTAAACAGGGGGCTTGTGCTGAGACCAACGCTTAGAAAAGCAGGCTTGTCTTTTTCATGGCTGCAACAGTTGCAGCCTTGAATAAAAATTCTCTTGCCAGTACAAACACCTTATTTAAAAATTTTTGATTGTGATCGCTTAAAAAAGAATTTGTAAAATCTTTTTGAACAGAAGTACCCGCAGAAGCGCACGCCATTTTCATAAGACATTGAAGTTGGTGTTGAGATTTCTCATGTCGATGGACATATGGCAACGGCGACGACTGCGCCAAGCTTCTGTAAGCTGAGGCCTTGAAATGAACGGATTCGTAGATTTGAACATGGCGCCAAATTAGCAAAAAAGAAAGAGGCCTTGGTGTGGCGAGTGCGTCAGCATTGAACAATTTGTTCCCAACAATCTAACACCAAATAACTAATTATGGTAATTATAGGGCAACGTTCTGTTCGGCGTCTTATACTTTAGTTGCCAGACTTTAGTGTGACTGGAGCAATACTGTCACCAAATTTGACGAAAAAATTTGCTTTTGTAGTTGTGGCTTCTCCGTGAGGGTTTGGTGTCGTCCGTGGTGCATTTTGCGAGGGCGTGAGCTACGTTGACCGTTTTAATTAACGAAATGAACGTAAAACGAGTGTTGCTGAAGTCTAGGAACGTTCTCTTGCTGTGTGCGCTGCTGGGCGACTAAGAGATCGTGTCTCGTAGTTAGGGAATCAACGACGCGTCGTTCGCCGTGGATGTGGGGCTGTGGGGCCCTGCAGGCGACGGTGGCACATCTTGCGGGGTCTCATTTACAGGTACGCGCGAGTCGCGCTTAATTCGCTTCAACTGCGCCGATAAAACAGCTTTCCAGGCGTATATACATCTGTAGCCTATCTGACGTACCCGAATCTGTAGCATATCTGACGTACCCTTGGCACGTTTATTCTTCATATGTACACGAGTCCAAACGATATGTCTTGTGCTGACACAGCTATAGGGGAAGCGTAGCGTCCCCGTCGTGGCGCGTGGTCGACGCAACATGATCAGCAGCGAAAAAAAAAGAAGGGGGGGGGGGGGCAGCACACCGCCTGCTGCGACGCTATTCAGTTTCCGCGTCGTCCCTATAATACTGAGACGCGATCTCTTGATTGCACAGCCGCACACACAGCAAGAAAACGCGCCCCGACTTCTGCAATGCGCGGTTCATTCCGCGCTAATTACGTCGCACACACACTCGCGAACAAGTTCATCGCACGCGCACTCGCGAAATGGACGGTGAACGACTTGTCAGTAATTCCCTAATTCTGAGACACAATCTGTTAATTGCACAGCAGCGCACACAGCAAGAGAACACCCATAGACTTCTGAAACGGTCGTTTTACGTTCATTCTGGCCAGCGTAGTGTGGCAGCCTGGGCTAGTCGAAAAAAAAAAAAAACACAAGTACAAGCTCAATTTATGACATGACGATAGTTATAGCGCGAGAACAGAACGATGACACAGAGACAAGAAGGACACGAAGGACACGAGCGCTCGTGTCATTTGTGTCCTTCTTGGCTATGTGTCGTTGCTTTGTTCTGACGCTATAACTATCGTAAGGCCAAAGTAGCTCACGCACTCGCTAAATGCACCGCGGACGACACCAAACTGTTACGGAGAAGCCACAACTACAGGGGCAAATTTTTTTGCCAAATTTGGGAAGAGTTTGGCGACAACCGCACAAAAGTCTGGCAACTAAATTAGAAGACGCCAAACTAAATTTTTGCAAAGACAAACGTATTTATAATAGTTTAAACAGCAGTTTTATTGTGTATTTTTACCTTAAAATTTTTTATTAAGAAATTTGTTTAGTGACGTCATTAACGTTGGTTGCCGTCACTCGGCGAATCACGCGCGCTCTTCAAAGCGTCCAAAATTTCAGCAGTGTGTCATGCCTACCGGCCTCGCATGCCTTCTGTGGACCAAGTTTTCTTGTGCGTACCGACAGCCTTTTGTGCATCGTAGGATGGAGTGAACATCAGCTTTAGTAAGTGATTTTTGTAGGTTTCGCAGTTGCAAAAGTTGCTTTTAAGTATAAACTTTGTTATTCAGTTAACGCGCGTAAGAATAGTGCTCAGCCAAAGTTTCTTTTTTGTTGATGAGCTTCTCGTTGTAATCATCGAAGTAGTTTGTTTCATGTTGATATACTTGTGCCGATTCAAGAGCTTCGTTGGGAATTTTGAATTTTACACGGTATTGGGCTTGACCTGTGAAAATGGAATGCACGCCGTCAGATCTCGCTGTAATGTGAGTGGTGGCAGTATGCCGATGTGTAAAGCTTTGTACGTCTTACGTTATTTTTCAGCTAATTTAGCTGTTTTATTTTCGGACGGCTGAATACGCCAGCGCTCCTTAATGGACAGTAAGTTGACTAAGCCGAATCAACGTACATGTGTTAGTAGGGCGTGCAATTCATCGCTGTCTCCGACTACGTCCGTAAATTAACAAGCTGTGCGTAGATTCTTTACGTCAATGCAATGTTTAGCGCATTTTTTTTCTTTACGTAAATCTGACAGCTGTCAAATAATCCTGAAGTAGGTGGTGCAGATTGTTCACGATGCGCCTCATAGACGTGCAAATACGGTGACTACATTGCTTGCTGACTAGATAGTCATAAATAAGTGATTTAAGACAACGCTTTGTTGGGCGAGTTGTGTATGTTCACAATTGCGGTTAAGGTGTGAAAGAACACAATCACAAGAAAGGATACGGGGCAGAGCACCACTATAACAATCAATTTATTTGGAGAAATACATGTACACATGAATCCTTCGCAGCACATGTACAGAAAATATGTTCGCACAATGGTGGCCAGGTAACAGATGCTCACTAAACTTCCTTTCAGATTTTTACAGTACTACAGAAGTGTTACTAATGCACATGTCACCTTTTTCGCCGATAGACCATGACTTCTAATAATAATAATATCTGGGGTTTTACGTCTCAAAAACCACAACATGATTATGAGAGACGCCGTAGTGGAGGGCTCTGGAAATTTTGACCATCTGGTGTTCGTTTACATGCACCGACATCACACAACACACAGGCCTCTATCATTTCGCCTTTGTTGAAATGCGACGGTTACAACTGGGAGTGAACCCACGAACTTCGAGTGACCAGGTGAGCATCTTAACTACTTCTCCACCACGGCGAACACACCATTACATTTTGATTGTTTTATGTTTGCTTGTGGTAATTCCTAAGATGCTTAGGCAAATTCGCACCCCCTTTATCTTGTTTAATAATTTCACTCATGGTCCATGATCTGCCCATTTAAACATCCACGCATTTGTCCTACATCTGAGAACAGCCACATGTGAGAGGGATCTTAATGACAACCCCTTGTCTATGAAACTAGACTGCTCCTTGTCTGTTGTGCCACTTTCTTTAATCTGCCCTCAAGTAAGGAGTCATGTATCCATCAGATATGCAGTCCAGTTTTGGCAACCAATTGGTCAGACTAGGTTCATCTGGGTTTCGTGGTTTTATTGTCGCTGAAGCCTCTTTGAAGAAATGGAGAAAAGGGCTTCTAGGGCTGTAGTTGAAGTCCCTTGTGAAGAGGTCAGACTGGTGGCCGTGCTGTGTGTGCACTAGCTGGCCCATAACTTGAAGATGGTCGTGAGCAGTCATCGTGTTCCACTCGTGTTTGCAGCTTCTAGGAAGCTCGAAAGGCTTTGCTCTCATATAGATTAAGGGAAGGAAATGTAGAATATAAGAGGATGTGTAACTTAGCCCGGGCTATCATACACGAGATGTGCTCAAGGGGTAATTCATGAGATTTTTCTCACATGCAGCTGTTCTTGCATAGGACAAACCAGTCTATGTCTGAAATAGTGTATCAGAAAGCATGAAAAAAATATTGATGAAAACTAGAAGGGTCCAAATTTGTCTAAGGATATTTAGAGTCTCCCTCAAGCTCTTTTGGGCCATGCTTTTTCGACGTGCAGGTTATTGCCAAAATCAAAAATAAAAGAGCCAGAGTATTGATAAAAGCATTTGTATTGACAAAAAAAGGCGACGTACGTAAGTGACACTGCCGTAGTATTGTATAAATCGGTGAAAAAGTTTATCGATCTTGTATAATTTGACGACCATAGTGTGTCAAAGCTTTCTGTACACTCGCTGGGAAGAATATATATGTACATGTATTTATTTAAAAAAAAAAAATCGTTTGTTAGTGATGCTCTGCCCCGGGTTCTTTCAGGGCACTGTGAGATTATAGGAAATGATTTTGCAGACCAGCTAGTTGCACTGATTTACCAAAATGCTACCGACAGATCCATAGTGGTCCCTGCACTACAGCTCAAGCCCATTCTGAAATGAAAGCTTGGGGCTTATTGGCAGCATTTATATATTGGGAAACCCAAAACAAACTACATCTAATTAAGCCATACCCCGGTAGTTTGCTGCCTATATCAAAGAATACGTCTCACAGAAGTAGCACTTTGGAGATTCAGATAAGTAAGTGTGTGTACACACTCATTACACACACTTACTTTTTGTCCAGTGGGGATTCACTCTTGTGTAATAAATGTGGTGAGCCTCTTACTGTCTCTCACATCCTGCTGCAATGCATGAATGTGGAACTAGTTGATGGAAGAAAGCATTTTCTGTTATCATTCAGGTATGAAATCACAATTTATCCTGCTATGTTTATTATCAGAGAACTCGTTTTTATATGAGTAACTTTTCAGATTTCTAAAAGATTTCCATACATGTGCATAGATAATTACCATTATGTTTTACATGCAATTCATAGCATGTCCTCTAAACAAAGGTTGCTGCTGCTGCTGCTGCTGCAGTAGTAATAAAGAAATCGCGAGCGTTCGGGGCGATCATGCTCAAAGGCCTTTAGTAGGCATTGGTGCCATTTTCCCTTCTTTGCTTGTGGAAATAAATCATGACCTCCTGCAGTGTCTTCTATTTCTCACCCATAGATCACTACACCTTTTACTGCTATTATTGTATAATATATATAGCTGCTAATGTTTTACGCTTTCATACTGCACATATTTTTAGACCACTTTAGAGGTGTGTTACATCTTTACCGGCCAGGGACATAGGCAGAAACTTTTTCTTAAGGTGGGGTGTAGAGCGCTCTTGATTTGAGATCGAGCCCAAGCCGACAGATGTGGTTGAGTGTCATATTCTGTTTGGTATGCCATAGTAAAAAAAAATTCGGGCGGGGAGTTGGGGCACAGTCCTGGCTACACAACTGTCAGATTGCTCTCTGCAAATGCCACATAAATATGGCATAGCACTCTTTGGTCAAATGTGGTCCTTGTGGCATAAGAACTCATAATTATTATCATCATCATCACTGTAAATGTTTAGCCAAAGATGGAGGCTTCAAGTGAGGAAAAGATGTTGAAGAACAGTGGTAGGAGAATAGAGCTCGGCAGCTGGCCAGTGGATGTGCTGGGGTCATTTTCTATAAGTAATATTTGAATAGACTTTTGTTTGCTAAACCGTGTATTTCCCGTTGCTGTTCAGTGCATGCCCTGTGAATTCACCCTTAGGCTAAGGCAATAAATTTCAAAAGAAGCACTAACTGCATCTTTTGCTTTTCATGATCATACCATATTGCATACTAAATTTATGCATTTTGTACTTGTGCAGAGTCTCGAGAAGCTGAGGCATCTTCTATTGGGTGTGCTGGTTTCAACTGTGACACAGCAGAAGGAGACAAGTGCAGCAAGTATTTTGACTGGTAAAGGTCTCATTCTGTATGTTTTCAGAGTGAAAAGCAACTTTGCCAAAGTTTTCATGTTCTTAAATAAGGCTCCTTATGAAATGCAAAACTAACTGCATTTTTTTTATAATAAACTGTCCATGTATCCTATGAGAGGTTGTCTGCTTTCAAAGACTGCATGCTTCAGAAGTTTCACAATTCGCTTTGTATTTCCTATTACCATTTCCTTTTGCATTTGACTCTCGCTGCTCATAAAAGTTTACTTGACCATTTGGACAAAAATGTAGTGCATGTGTTCGTGTGTGGGTGTGTGGGTGTGTGGGCGCTCACGCATGTCCACGCATGGGAAATGACAGTCGTCCTTTGTTCTTGATTATTTTCATATGCCGGATATTGCACATACATATTTGAAAATTACCCTATACAGTATAACCCACTTATATCAAGACCCAGGTTCCATGAAAATTTTATTTTTACAACAGATAACTGCTATGAATGGTCTGTGCAAAAAAAAGGGGTGGCAGGTTCTTGTGAAAAAATGATGTTGGATAAGATACGCCAACATATATCAGTGATAAACATGATGAAGCTGCCAATTTTTTGGACATGGTGGAAAATTCGGATGCTTTCACGGGACCACCACAAGCCAGATAGAGCCAATGTATGACAATGTCTAAAGTTTCAGATGCTAAAACTCTTCCAAGTCTCAAATTTAATTTACTCAAATTGCATGCCCCAAAATGCATAAACAGAAGCGGCCGCCACTCGCACGTTGTGGATTCAAAAGTAAGCTTTGCCGCAATACCACATCATTTTGTAGTGAAGGATATTACAATTTAAAGGCATGCTCATTGGAGTTGTGGGCAGGAATTCAGCACTTCTGGTTTTCTTTTTCCTTTTCAAGGATTTTGCATTTCATTACTTTTCATTACTTTCAAGGATTTCATTACTTTTCACTACAGCACCCAACATCCAGAATTCATTCTTATATTCAATAATGCGGCATGCAGGCATTGCTGTAAGTGGTTTAGTTCACTATAGCAGACATATGAAAGTTGATGGTGCGCTGCAGCCTCTCATTGTTATAACTGATATATTGTTGAAACTGGTATCGTTATAAGTGGGTTCAACTGTACATAATATATAGAGGTACACGCAGTGTACGCAACATTTAAATTCAAGCAATAATATGTCTGTGATTTTATCAGACTGTGCAAGTGCCATGCCATAGCTATCAGGCCTGCTGTTGGCAGGTCTGTAGCTAAACATTTTCAGCAGCCCCACATTATTGTGCTACATCATCCACTTGGAGGCGGAAATGTTGTAGGCCCGTGTGCTCAGATTTGGGCGCACGTTAAAAAACCCCAGGTGGTCGAAATTCCCGGAGCCCTCCACTACAGCGTCTCTCATAATCATATGGTGGTTTTGGGAGGTTAAACCCCACATATCAATCAATTACATCATCAACTGGAGACTATTCCCAAGCCAATTATTTCAAGAATTATTTAAAATGATGCACTGGAGGGCATGCATTTTCACTTTGCATCATCAAACATTGTAGCACAAACGAAGACACAGAGCAGAAAAAAGAACTGCACAAGCACAAATAATCAAAGGATGGTTTCATTATGCCAGAAAGAGGATATATGTCCAAACACCTGCACTTGCACCTTATGTACACCTTTCATAAAAGCTCCATGGGCCAGTACTTGAGATGTGCCAGTACCTCACACCATATTTTACACATTGCCTCCTTGTTTAAGGAAAGAGGCATCCGTGATAAAGGGACTTAGTTATTTATTTGATTTACAAATACTGCTGTCTCGATACACGAGACATAGCAGGAGTGGGTACATTAGGAAAAGGGACGAACATACATTAAGCAATACCAAAGAAACATACAAAGCATTTAAAACATATTACAAAATATGGTTAGGCAGTTCTTTCAAAAACAGTTCAATTGGTTTTTCGCGTAGGGAACCATCTAGGTTGTTCCAAATCTCAACAACGGCTGGAAAAAAGGAATGCTTAAAGCAATGTACAAATGGCTGGAAGGGAACAATGTTGAGTGGGTGAGATCGGTGCGTGGTTCGTCGTGCTGAGAGTTATTAGTCACTCATTATTAAATTTTGGGTGAATAGGCGTCACTTAACGAAAGAGGCTATGTAAAACATGCAGTATTCAGCATTGGACTCTGTTTGCACCTACAAATGGCTCACATTCGTGGCAGGTACACATGCTGTGATTTAATATTTTTGTGCTTTCGGACGTAATGAACTTTCAGTTGCTTGTGAGCACTGATGTTATTCCCTTTTCTTTTTTATGTCTTAATATATGCCTTGAAGGAATCCTAAGTGATCCGGAGTTTGAAATTTAATTGTGGTGTGGCAGTTGTGCATGGGTCTGCAATAAACTACCTAGCCAGGAAAACTTTTCAAAACGGTGCCGTGATAACAGAGTTACATTTACTTGATTAAAATGTAGTGATCACTTGTTTTGCTTTCTTTCATAATCCTCCAATCATCGGCAGGTCTCCTCTCCTAAAGCTGCTTTTGCCCTTCTTGATGAGTGCCCCTCCCAATCTTTCACGACGACCATCATTGCAAACGCTCTCTTCGAAAAAGTGTCCACTTCGGGTTGCCGCAACTCCTTCAGCTCGGTGCTTCTCGGCTAACCACTGTTGTTACCATGCTGGCCTGTGCTCCCTGGAATCGTGCCAGTATGAACCTTTTGTCACACGCATTCAAAGGTTTGCCAATCACCCTTGAGCCGTATGGTAGGGCACTGCATGCAGGCGTGTAGCCAGAAATTTTTTTCGAAACCATCTTGATTTCGGGAGAGGCACCCCCGTAAGATGGATATTTTTCGCTCTCTATTCCTTGGAGAAAATAATTTCAGGAGAGGGGGGGGGGCACGTGCGCGGTAAGTGTGCCACCCCCTGGCAGCATGGGTTGATTTTTCTGGCTTGAGCCCGGCCCGGCCTGCAAGGAACATGCTCCGAGTCCGGCCTGGTGTTTTTAAATATGCATTGCAGGCAGCCTGGGCCCAAGAGATTTGGGCTTGGCTTTGCCTGGCCCATTTCAACCAAATATACCTGAAGCATAAGCGAGGTGCTGTCTAATCCTCAATTATTGTAACGATACCAGCCGCACATAAGACATTTACTGCAGAGGGTCGTGGAAAATTCTTGCTGTCTCATGATATTTTCACCAATATTTTGCATATTTTTCATTGATTATGTTTGTATACATTTGCAAAACGTTGCAGAGCAATACAGTTGAACCCCTTTATGACATATACGGTAATAATGTAAAGACAGCTAGGTATAAGAGACACCCAGGCTCGTAGAGAGAAAGATTTTTCAGAAGAGGAGAGAGGGCCACCTGGTGGACGCCTTCGAAAACACCTGTTTTTATTATAGTCCTCAGTAAAACACACGACTCCATCCAAATTTTAAGGCGGGGGGAGTGGCCTAGGGCCTCCACCTCCCCTGTTTACTGAGCCCAACATCGAAATAGCGATAATCGGGAAATGAGAACATGGTACCTTGATTATCAGAGACACCTCATATAAAGGACAAAAATTGCTCCACAGTGTGTGTCTCTTATAAAGGGGTTCAACTGTATAAATAGGGGTCCAGCTGGCTGTCTCATTTACGCAATGCTAACAAAATAATCTTAGTAATGCATTAAAAAAACAATGAAGTTCAATGCCCACATTAAGCAAAAAAAGGGTGAGCATTTATAGTGTTTGATTGGGTTTATATACTTTGTTGACGAGCTACGGCTGTTAAGTAAGAACAGCAAAAATTGTTCTGGAAACATTGTTTATGGTAACAATGGAATGAAAGGGGTGGGGGAATGTGCTCTAACTGTGCTTCTGTGAGGAGTGCACCACGCTAGGCAGTGTTATATACCGTGAAGCTGCTGTTTCATCTCCTCTGCACGCAACGGCTACACTACATTTTAGTGCTGAAAAAAGGGGGCTTCTCTTTCCAATCCTTTTTCCCAGAGTCACCATCACCACAGTGCTATAGACCTCTCAAAGCAAGCCAGATCTGGCGGATTGGGTGTTCAGAGCACAGTCCCCTGCACTTACCAAAATCGAGAAAGTGGCTTGCCTTGTCATGGCGGGCTGAAGGCCTTGGTGCGAACGGGGTAATGAAGTCTGGCTGGCTTTCACTCGCAGGTGTGCTTGTAGGCTTGGAGCTTGTGGTGATGTAACATCCTCGGCTGGAAAATGCTGGACACTCTTGTACTGTGCGATTTCAATGCACACTAATGAATATCAGGGGCCCTCTTCTACGCCATCTTACATAACCTGAGTCATTTCGTGTGATTAAACTTCATATACCAATGTAACCATGTATTAGCATACTGGCATAACTACCAACATTGGAGAAATGACAGCACTCCACTCCACAAAACTCCTCAAAATGAGGATGCTATCTCTACAGCGGCAGAATGAGCAAAGGGAAAAATAATCCATGACCATGACACCAATGGCTATAAGAAAAGTGCTTATTCGCCGAGATCTGCACGAGAGAAAAGATGGAGCAAACATGACACATGCGTCACCGTAATAGCACTACGTGTCTATTCTCTACATCACCAGTGCCAGTGGAGCAATAGCCTGTATATTTAGAAAGGCAGAGGTCAACGTCGCTCACAAGCCATCTACCACCATCGGCAGCTTCATCTCTCGACCCAAAGATTGTGCATTGGTGGGAAAAGCTCAAGGCATCCATGTACTGGATTGCATGCACCAACTGAGCCGCTTCCTACTTTTGGGAAATCAACAACTTCTACAAAGGAACGCGGCAGCATAAAAATGACCACCATAAATTGAACAGCGAAAGGAGTGCATTACCAGAACATTGCGAGTAGTTCGACTACCATATCAGTCCTGACGATGCGGTGATTCTGAACAAAAAAAAGCAACCTTTCTGGCGGCTTCTTCTCGAATTCTGGCACATTAGCAGACAGCGGGACACATCAACCGCTCCAAGGGCGTATTGCCCTCCCTCTACTGCCAGGGCTTACGATGAGTAACGGCGATACTCGCATGCACGGCAAGGAAACGTATATAAGTGCTGCATATCTTCGGCCTTCTCACCCTTGAAGCAGAAGCCGGTCCAACTTTCGAAACATCGGGTTTACCTAAAACAAATTCTCATTGGAGTTGTCTCATTTCTCCAGTTTTGTACCTCAACCAGACAGACTGCTACCAAGTGTTCACCTCTGATACTGCCGACATGTATGAAACCCAGACTTGATCGGGGCCTGACTCAAGCCTGAGCTCAAAGCTCATGATCCTGAGCTAGGCCAGGCCCGATCTCACAACTCCTTAGCCAGCCCGGGCCCTACTCATGGGCTGGGCCAGGCCGAGGCTTTCAGGCCAGCCCGGGTCCATGCAGTGCTCTGTTGTATTGAGACATATCCGTGCAGAGCAAGCGGGAACAGCTGCTTGGAGACTTACTGGAAGTTCTAGGTTCTTCTTCAACCTATCACAGGATTGATTGTCAGTAACATCACATTTGCAAAGTAACGTCAAAGTTGCACTATAGTTTTGTTGCTATTGTTACCGGGGGAGCTGAACAGGCCCGTAGAGGAGAAGCAATTGCTCTTTGGAATTTGTGGTACATCCGTGGTTTGTAGTGCTGCCAGGTGTAACATCATTATTTGTGATGGCATCTGAACACGATGTGTTTGTTTACCTGAATATTTTTTAAATATCCTAGGTAATGTAGGGGGCCTTTACTATTCATTAATAAGCCCGAACTTGCTTAAGCACTAGATGTCTCTACACCATGTGCAACATAGCTTGTGAAGACATCTAATAGCTACAAATGGAGGGGGCATTAGCTAAGCTATTAGCCAACTTGCTGATGCCTGAGGCTAGAATATAACTTAATTAAGAAGGCTGCAAGACCTATCCTCAGCTTGGTCAATTTAGCCAAACAGTAGATGTCTACTAACTGATTTTGTATTGGCAGGGGTAGCATAGAATGGGAATGAAGCTGACAGGAGTACAAGCTGGTTTAGCAATGCTAATTTTGTCAGTTAAAAAAAAAGGCGCCCTCATCACTTTTATATTGAAATTGGTATCATGAGATCTGGGACAAATGCCCCCAGTTTGTCGATCGCAGATCAAAATTCAAGACAGCAGCGGAAGGGCAAGTAAGAATAAAGACTGCAATATTTGACCTGCAGTTGTACTTCTAAAGAAATGCTTTATTGAATACTCGGGCACGACACGACGTTGACAATGGAACGCTTACCATTCATACTGTTCCAGGTTGCCCTTGCGCTTTTCCAGGTTGCCCTTGCACGGCAACCCTCTTTCTGTCCTTGTCTCTTCTGTAGTTACGTCATAACTAATCGTAGTCTTCCGCTGTTCAAATATGTTGCCCTTGTGGTGTGCTCCTGACTACCTTCGTTGGCAACGGACCAGGTCTTCCCCTGTCCTCTACAAAATACTGGCCAACCCGTGGATAGGACGCGTCAGCTGCAGCAACAGAATCAATTGAATGAAAACCAGTTCTTCGGATGGCAACTGCGGGCATTTGCCACCACCCATACCACTATCAGCACCGACGGTAGAGAATATAAACTGCTGCCCGTGAACGCCCCTCTAGGGCACGACACCACGTCAACAATGAAGCACTTACCATTCATACTGTTTCAGGTTGCCCTTCTGGTTGGTTCTTCACTCCCTTCGTCGGCAACGGACCGGGTCTTCCCCTGTCCTCTACAAAATACTGGCCAACCTGCGGGTAAGACACATCTTCTTTACTGACAGGATCAACTGAGTGAAAACCAATTCTTCGGCTGGCAACTGTGGTCGTTTGTCACCGCCGATACCACTATCAGCGCCGACCATAGGGAATATAAACTGCTGCCTGTGATTGCCCCTCTGGGGAAAGACATCACAACGGCAATGGATCCCTTACCATTCATACTGTTCCAGGTCAGCTACCTTGATCATTGCACTTGCCTAAAAAGCAAGAATGGCTGCCTTCTTTTGCTGTCATGCCCGAGGCAGTAGTTATTTGCTAAAGAAGTATGTCAAAAAAGTATTAGGTGTTAGTTAAAGGCCTGCATATAATGCTTACCGGCGACGTGGAAACTAATCCCGGACCCAATTCCAACTATCTAGTTCTTGCAAAAGTGCTGGAAACCATACAAAGGAATAAATCAGGCCAAGATAGCATTCGACGTGATTTGCGGGAGTTGAAGCAATGACAGGTGTCTGTAGACATTGAACTAAAGCAACTGTCTATAACAATTCGTGTTGTCGAAGTCGATATTGCCGACTTGAAAAGCTGCCACGCTTCCTCGTGAGCTGATTCTCGAGGTACGGATTTTAGCGGTTTCACTGTTCAGCTCAGAACAATTGCATCTGTTTATAATGACCTTTGATCGCTTATTACGGATAACCTGAAAAAATTCTGGAAAGCTATATCGCGCGCTGCCCGCCAGCTCACATTTCCTTGTTAGATAACACTGGTGTTTCAAAAAATGGTGAAGAATGCCTACTTATCTTCAATAACTTATTTTCTTCAGTGTTCACAAGAGAAGACCGTTCTACTATTCCAACATTAGCAAATGCCATCTACCCATACGTGAGCCCCATAGAAATCAGGGCAACCGGTATTGCTGCATGCATAAACAACTTTAAAATATCATCATGCTCTAGTGTAGAGAATATAAATACGAAAATTCTAAAGAACACTGTTAGTCATTCAAGCCCCATTTTGTTTTTCACATTTTATGTCAATCACTCACAACAGGAGAAATTCCAGCTGGCTCGACGATTTGAAAAGTTATCCCCATTTTCAAATCGAGCGACGAAACTAACCCATGCAATTATGGACCCATATCATTGACATCAGTGCCATGCAAGATCTTCGAACACATAGTCGCGTCAAACGTTGCACAGCATCTCAACACTAATGAGTTCTTTTTCACTAACCAGCATGGTTTTGAGAAATGTTTCTTGTGCAAAACACAATTACTAAAATTTAGTAACGAACTGCTGCAGAATATGGAAAAAAACATTCAGACATGTTGCGTGTTTGTAGACTTTTCAAAGGCGTATTTGACCGAGTAGCTCATTCACGTTTAATAGCACATTATGGGTAAGAAATACTTTGTCATGTTGCAAACAATTCAGAGTTGCTAACGATCTCTTAACTCCATTGGGAGATGTATTATCTGGTGTACCTCAAGGTAGCGTCCTTGGCCCCTTGTTGCTCATCATTTACATTATTCACCTTCCATCTAACATTTCATCAGACATTAAACTGTTCGCAAGTGACTGCATCATCTACCGCGAAATCCGCTCGCCTGCAGATCACCTAGAATTTTAAAGGGATCTAGGCAAAGTAACCGCTTTGTTCAAACTATGGCAAATGTCACTTACCATAGATAAGTGCAAGTTAATCTCATTCAGCCGCAAGAAGACCAACTCCTCCTTCAATTATTCACCTAACAGCACCTTAGTGTCCCCTGCCTGTTCCTACTACTACCTCGGTGTTCATTTTTTGAATAATCTCTGGTGGTTGTCATATACAGAAAGTAACAGCTAAAGCACCTTGCACATTAGGTTATCTTAAATGGAATCTCCATGGAACTCTCATAACTACACGTAAACTCGCATATCAAACATTTGTTCTCCCACAGTTACAGTCATCATCATTATCATCATCAGCCTGACTACGTCCATTGCAAGACAAAGGCCTCTCCCATGTTCCGCCAGTTAACTCGGTCCTGCGCTTGCTGCTGCCAATTTATACCCGCAAACTTCTTAATCTCATCTGCCCACCTAACCTTCTGTCTCCCCCTAACCTGCTCGCCTTCTCTGGGAATCCAGTTAGTTACCCGTAATGACCACCGGTTATCCTGTTTACGGGCTACACGACCGGCCCATGTCCATTTCCTCTTCGTGATTTCAACTATGATATTCTTAACCCCCGTTTGTTCCCTAATCCACTCTGCTCTTTTCTTGTCTCTTAAAGTTATACCTACCATTTTTCTTTCCATTGCTCACTGCATTGTCTTCAATTTAAGCTGAACCCTCTTTGTAAGTCTCCAGGTTTCTTCTCTATAGCTAAGTACCAGCAAGATACAGCTGTTATATACTTTCCTCTTGAGGGATAGTGGCAATCTACCTGTCGTTATTTGAGAGTGCTTGCCAAATGTGCTCCACCCCATTCTTATTCTTCTAGCTACTTCAATCTTGTTGTTCGGCTCCGCAGTTATTACCTGCCCTAAGTAGACATAGTCTTTTACTACTTGAAGTGCACTACTGCCTATCTCGAAGCGCCCCTCTTTTCTGAGCTTGTTGTACAATACTTTTGTTTTCTGCAGATTAATTTTAAGACCCACCTTTCTGCTCTCTTTGTCTAACTCCGTAATCATGAGTTGCGATTTGGCCCCTGAGTTACTTAGCAATGCAATGTCATCAGCGAAGCGCAGGTTACTAAGGTACTCTCCATTAACTCTCATTCCTAACTGTTTTCATTCTAGGCCTCTGAAAACCTCCTGTAGGCACGCGGTAAATAGCATTGGGGAGATTCTATCACCCTGCCTTACACCCTTCTTGATTGCTATTCTGTTGCTTTCTTTATGAAGCACTATGGTAGCAGTTGATCCCCTGTAGATTTTCTTCTGGATGTTTATGTATGCTTCATGGACGCCCTGATTCCACAGTGTCTACATGACTGCTGATATTTCTACTGAATCTAACGCTTTCTTGTAATCTATGAAGGCTACGTATAGTGGTTGGCTGTATTCTGAGCATTTCTCTTTTACCTGATTGATAGTATGAATGTGGTCAATTTTTGAGTAGCCTGTTCGAAATCCTGCAATGTTTCTTTGGTTAATTGAAGTCTAATGTTTTCTTAACTCTGTCAGCAATTACCTTTGTAAATAGCTTGTATACTATGGAGAGCAAGCTGATCGGCCTGTACTTCTTCAAGTCCTTGTCACCTCCTTTCTTGTGTATTAAGATGATGTTAGCATTCTTCCAAGACTCTGGTATTCTTCCCCCAGGAGGCACCTCATATGCAGGGTGGCTAGTTTTTTTAGCACAATCTTTCCTCCATATTTCAGCATATTTGATGGTATTTAATCCTTACCAGCATGCTTTGCCTCTTTGCATGCTCTTCAAGGCTTTTCTGACTTCTTCTAATATTACTGGTAGGGTGTCATCTGAGTTACTGCTAGTCCTTATAGTATTAAAGTCGTGGTTATCCCTGCTACCGTACAGATCTCTGTAAAACTCCTCTGCTATTTTAACTGTCCTATCCATATTGGTAGTTATTTTTTCTTTTTTGTGTCTTCCATCCGATTTTTGCCTTTCCTAAGTTTCTTTTTCACTGCTTTGACGCTTCCTCCATTTTTCAGAGCGTATTAAATTCTTTCCATGTTATACCGTCTTACATCAGATAACTTACGCTTATTAATCAACTTTGAAAGCTCTGCCAGTTTTATTTTGTCTGTTGTACTTGAGACTTTCATGCTTTGACGCTTCTTAATGAGATTCTTTGTTTTCTGGGAAAGCTTGTCAGTGTCCTGTCTAACTACCGTGCCTCCAACTTCCACTGCACACTCCGTAATGATACTCGTCAGATTATTATTCATTGTATCCACGCTAAGGTTGGTTTCCTCAATAAGAGCCGAGTACCTGTTATGAAGCTAGACTCTGAATTACTGTACTTTCCCTCTCAGTGCTAGCTCATTGATTGGCTTCTTGTGTATCAGTTTCTGTCGTTCCTTCTTCAAGTCTAGACGAATTTGAGACCGTACCATTCTATGGTCACTGCATCGTACCTTGCCAACCACTTCCACATCCTGCATGATGCCTGGGTCTGCACTCATTATAGAGTCTATTTCGTTCTTGTTTTCGCCATTAGGGCTCCTCACTGTCCACTTACAGTTACAGTAAGCATCACCTATTTGGTCATCCCATCAGGCTTACTTAATCAGGCACTTGACTGCTAACCCGCAGGTCATGGGATCGAATCCCGGCCGCGGTGGTCTCATTTGCGATGGAGCCAAAAATGCTTAGGGCCCATGTGCTGAGACTTTGTTGCACATCAAGGAACCCCAGGTAGTCAAAATTTCCGGGGCCTTCGACTACGGCGTCTTTTATTATCATATCGTAGTTTTGGGACGTTATACTTCAACAATTATGATATTGTATTGCTTTGTATATTGTACTTTGCATTATGCTTTCTATTTTATTTTACTCTTATGCATCTAGTACTTTAACTGTTCTTGCATGTTGTTAATAGTATTGCCTTGTATTTTACTATTACTATTGCTTTTATTATTTCCTTGTGTATTGTACTTTGTACTTTGCATTCAATTTTTTTTGTATTCCTATCATTTCATAATTTTTTAAGCTGTTCTTCACTGGTCACCACCTGCTAATCTTCCGAAATTTGAGATGTGAAGCAGCTCTGTGACTACCCTGTGTAATGGCCTAAACACGGTACGGCCGCACGCCTGGTTCCGCTCCGTTTTTCTGAAACGTTTCGGTTTCCAGCTCGTCTGGAGACGGACGCTATGCTCGGTGGGGCCGCACGAGCAGAATGCATGAGCACGCTGATTGCCCAGTGCCACAAACCTGTGCCACATACTTGATCAGTGCCACAAACCTGATCAAAATGCTAGGACGCAAGACAGTTGCTTACATCATTTATAAATTGCATGGGTTGTAATAATTTATAAGCCAAGTAAAGAGGTGCAGCTAATAACCTTGGGCCCATTTCATTAACATAGTGCATGGGAAAGCTTATTTGTTTTGTAAAACTCACATTACCTAGTGGATTCAAATCAAACCAGTGTTATTGTATCGACATGCTGAAATGGTCATATCAAGTTGATTGGTATATGAGTAGCTTCATGAGACGTTGATGACAGAAATATGTTCCTGCATACATAATCACTTTCATGCCCAAACTGTCCACAGACAAGATTATGATACCAATTTAACCCTAAATAATAGATGTGAGATTGCTGATATTCGATACCGAGGCAATCCTTAAAATAGATGTCATGGAGGTCTCTGACAGGATCACTCACAAGGCTGTTTCAGAGAAGCTGCGAAAATCTTAGCGTACTTATATTTATGTGAGGGAACTCATGTGTACCACGTCATGCAATCATACCATGCGAGATCAGATCAGATGACGTAGAGCTCAAAAGCTAATGGTACATCCCCATCTTTTTGTAACGTAATCTCGGTTGTTTCACAAGTACAGTTCTGGTCCCCCTCCTCTTCCTTATTTACATCAATGACTTGTCTGATAATATTAAATCTAACATTCGCCTCTTTGCTAATGACTGTGTATTGTACCGACCCATTACTAACGTTTCAGATAGAGTTACCTTCCAGCGTGACCTACTAAATCTTGGCGAGTGGTGTCACAAATGGCTCATAGTTTTAAATTCTTATAAAACTGCACTTGTTTCACTTCGCAGACACCAGAACTTTTCTACTGCTGACTATATTATTAATGGTTCCACAGTGTCTTTCCTTAGCTTACACCCTAATTTGCCCAAAATTATAATATGCATGTGCCATTTGGGACCCATCACAAAGTAAGCTAAGTTCATCAAACTAGTTTAAAACCGCACAGTTAGATTCACCTATTCAGAATACTCATATCATACCAGTGTCACTGCCCTTAAAAGTAATGCAGGTTTGCCTAACCTAGACCTGTGCTGTAAGATTTCTAGACTGTCCTTGTATCAAGAAAAGTATCATGTGATTCATTACAACTACCCCATTCTACCAGCCCATCGTACTTCAGCCCCCAGAAGGCCACCTGCCCACTTCTGCTTGCACCAGAGCCCACCATCAATCCTTTTCGATCAGGCGGCCAGGCACTAGAACGATCTTCGCTCAAGTGTCATTGGCCATTACAAAACAGATAAATTTAGGAATGCAATAGAATAATTTTTTTGATTAACTCTACATTGTTTGGACACACCCTCATGTAAAGCCCTCTGTAGGGGGCGTTCGAGGTATAATAAATAAAAATAAATAAATGAACAGTTTGGGTTTGTTAGTTTCACATGATGGGTGGCATCAAAAGTGACATTTTTGAATTAATAATTGACTGCAGTTCGATGACACATGCCCCATAATATGCAGGTACTGGTATTTTTTATTTACACTGCAATTCCAAAATGTCTCATGACAAAGAAATTATATTCAGGCCACTTGGGCTGTTTTCTAACTTGTATTCTGTTGCTTGGGAGCAGAGCTTGGCTACATGAGCACACTCGGTCACTCTCACTCAAAAGGCATGACTTGGTATGTGTGCATGAAGAGAATGTGAGTAAACACCAGTATGAGTGTGAGTAATCACAAATGAGAGAAGGCATAATGAAATGAAGTTTATTCTGACTTGTATTAGGAAAAGGACTGTGAAAAAAACCTGGCTTTGGAACCATAGGCATGTGCACAAGTGGCAGGTGGGCAAGAGGGTGGGTGCAATGTGAGCCCTGTACATGGACATGATAGAGTGGGTGGGTGCTGCAATTAACCTTTCCCCCTGAAAAGGAACCCTGCGCACACTTATGTTTAGAAGAACTGGACTAGTTCACAACTTCATAACAAAAATAGAAGAAAAAGTCGGAGGAGCTACTGAACCATGGCAAACAAAACAGATAAATTGACATTTCACAACTAGCATACTGCAAGAGTGTATACATTATGTAGAATATAGTGATAAATGTCACGCTACGTTACTCAATATTCAAACTAGCTACATAACAGAAAACTTGAGCAGAATACAGTTTCTATAAACATCATAACATCATTGTTATTTTCAAAATAACATATTGAACTGAACACACTGGATATATAAAAATATTCATATTACCTTCATACAAACACCTACACTCGGACATCATAAAATACACAAAACAGTTTTGATTTCAAACTGTAACAACCTTCATAATACAAAAGAAATGCTAAGTAGTTGAAACTTAGATTTATATCACCACAATTAACTTGCATCCTGATATGAAGAATTGACCAAGTCGAAATTATCCAGATCATAGTGATTTTGAAGCGAAAGAATAGGATAGTTTAGTCGTGTGACAGGTAGGGCATCTTACATGCATGAAGACGAGCGAGTACCAATGAGTGTGAGCTAGACCTTAGTGAGTACTGATGGGTCTGAGAAGGCCTGAGTATAAACGTGAGCAATTAGTACTCTTCAATGGTAGCAGTCATGAGTATGAATGTGAACCGGTAATCATGAGTGTAAGAAGGCATGAGTAAGCATGTATAAATGTGTGTGAGTACCTGTGGCCATGAGTAGAAGTCTGTATGAAAGTTAGCGAGTTAGAAGCCTAAAGAATCTCAGAGTGACTGAGTATTTTCTTGTATTGCTGACCTATGCTTGGGAGTCTGAATGTTTTAGTTGCACATTGAGCTGAAGCTTATGTATAGCTGAAATATTCAAATTCAAAATGTTTCTTTATCTAGTAGTACATGGCATACGCATAGTGAATGGCCGAGCTTCTTGAGCAAGGCACACAGGGCACGGGGGCGCTTGTCACAAAACTATGTAGAATTCATTGACGCACATCATATATACTTTTGAAAGCATGTCGCCAACCATGCATGATTTTTGGGGACAATAGAAGTACAGGATAAGTAGAGGATTTCCAGAACAATCTGCCAATACTGATGAGGGTCTTCCCAGGTACAAAAAAGAGCTCTGACTATACACATCCAGCTTGCAATTCTTGAACAACACGAAAGTGTATAATGTCAAAGACCTGTTTGGTTGGTCTAGACAATTGAGAAAAAACTTATCCTTGATAGCCATAGCTCTGCAAATACAAAGATATCCAACTTCAAGCTTACTTCGCAAACACCACAGATTGGAGCATTTATGAAGATAAGACAATGTTTGCAGCTGTCTTAATGTATCTTGCTGAAAGAAATTTACACCAACTCAAGCAGCATATGGCTCAGTGCCATGTTTATGCAGGGGACAGGAAAACTTGAGATGGTCTGTGCTTATACAAGTCTGCTGCTATCAAAACCCAAAGCCAGCCGTATCGGAATAGAACGCAATGCCTCCTATCTTTGCCAAAGTTCTAACCTCGCCCATATAGAAGACCTTCAAAGGTAAGTGGCCACTATGCCTCATGTTGGCTGGACTTTGGGTAGTCTGGCATAGTGTACAAATTTGGATGGAAAAACTGTGATGCAAATGTCTGCACCAAAACGTACAAGATTGCGACACCATTGATGCAACTGTAAGCACAGGTGACTTCACTGAGCAACACCAGACCGATTTAAAACTACAAAGCCTTGTAAAGTACCTTCAAGGTAAAACTGGTGGAGTCGTCAGAATATGTAAGTGTACATTGTCCTCAGTTCACTTATGAAATGACATTCCCATAAATAAGAACTTATTAACAGTCTATGCAACTACATTCTCATTGTGCCTTTAGCACTATGTAGAGATGTTTGTAGCCTCTGCATAACAATGTGATTGCTGGGCACTTCGGTTTCTTGCACCTTTCCCTGGGATTTTAAAGCCTGCATCACAATAATGATGTGGCTGATTATGTCTAAACGTAATAGCACTGTCCATGATACACAACACCACTGATAAAGCCACCAGGATTACATCACCATTGCCATGAAGCAACATGACTGCAATTTCAAAGAAAAACATCTGCCCAAGGTAGTGCCACTATAGTAGTGAAATTTTTGCAAAGAATGTCAGGTTCCGACATGCTGCACCACAGTTCTCCGATCAAGGTACCACTTTTAGGGTAGAGCTAACCAAAGGCGCCCTGAAATATATCTATAGAAGCCACCACAAGAAAACAATTTACCACTCACTGGCCTTCAATGCACCTGAATAAAACTATTGCCGACATGTCGGAAATGTAGATCGACATGGTATGCAGATGTGGTATGGTATTCTTCTATATGTCACCTGTGGTGACACAGCAGCGTAAAAACGATGCAAACCTAAACTGCTTCACAGAAGGAACCTGGCAACAATCATTGGCATTATTTTTTTCATTGTCACTAATGAAAATAATCTCCAAATTGCCATATATCTGCAGCGCACCACAGAATCTTGATAGCTGTTCCGGCTCTCTCAAAGCAAGCAAAGGACTGACTCCTGTTGCTTCAGTTTTTGAAAGTGCAATTTGGAATAGTAACTGGGTTACCGCACTTGAGTTTGGTTGCTCATGTAGGCTAACTGGGAAGTTTCTGGAACAATACTTTAGAACCTAAACTCTACTGCAGCATTGTGGCGCACTTGTTATTATATGATGCAGTATCACAGTACCACTGCACATGGTCTAATGTTCTCCATCCATTGCAGCATAAACTTTGCTATGTTGCTATGAGTGCCACAGGACTATCAGACCTTATTTTTAACTTCCTTTCTTACTTTATGTGATTGCATGCATTCACAGTTTCACGTTTAGTCTGCAGTTTCAAGGCAATGTTTTACCATTGTACTAACTTGCGCTGTTCTTATCATTTTTGCCGTGACCAATGTTTCCTAATATAAACTCTTTTACATATTTTTACTGGTCACAAGCCACACCTTTGTGTATCATAACATTCTTGAATGGTTTTCATCATTCTAAATTGATTACTATGCAACCAGCATACTAGTACATTTCGACATACATGAAAGCACAAGCAATTGCGCTGAAACGTATAGCAATGGACTAATTAAAACCTGACATGTTTAATTACTACCTTATTCAATATACTCAATGAGACATACTATAACAGCGAGTAATCTGGTTCATGTATCAATTAACTATCGGTGATGTTGCACAATTGCGAGTATGAATTGTCGTTTGGCTTTGATCTAGACAGTTTTATTTTAATTTTTTTACACAATAGTAGTGTGCTCTTTCTGTTTGCGCATGTGGGAAACATACATGGTTTGACTCTTCTAATTGTTCTTTTTGAAATGAAAAGTATATTTGTGAGCTAGACCTATGGTTTGGGGTTTTTTTTTTTATCTGTGTGTTTGTGCTACCAGTCCATAATAATGTAATCATTATCACAGTCACCTTGCTGAGCTTGAGTAAATGAGTTTTATTCCTGGTGATGGCGGCCACATTTCAATGGGGGCCCAGAGCAAGAGCACCAGCATACTATTACAAGTAGTACAAGAGAAAACACGAAAGTGCATGGTGAATGGCCTCCAACCACATTTTGATCGATTCTCTCACAGGTCTATTAAAAATAAGGTGGAAGGAGTAACACTTTTCCGTACATCGGGGTCACTCCCACCATGTATCTACTTTTACAATAGCTGGAATGTATAACAGGTAACACCTTGTTCTCGAAGGAACTGTTGTGTTGTGATGAACACACACATGTGAATGAATTAGCGGATAAACAGACAAATGGTTGTTGTGGTACTCTGCTTAGTTTTCCTGCCTTATAATCATGAGAAGATAACACGCGGTCAGGTGCTGTTTTGTTTCAGAGCTAGCAAGGTGGGAGTGCCAACATTCAGTGCAACCATGCCAAATTTTTCGCGCCATTTGGATTATGTCCACCGCGAAGTGCCCAACATTGGGTTCCAGGCTACTGGCCACGTGCTTATGTGTTTCCTGTCATAGTGCTCACAATAGTGCTTAGGTTTTGATGAATGTTGAAGAACCCCAGGGAATTAATCCGCAGTACGCGTAAGCAGTATGAGTTGTAATTAGAGCTCTGTGTTTTCAGAGTTCACTTTTTTTAATTTGCAGGAAATTTTTTGCAGTTTATGTTTCTCTAGGAAATTTGACGTTTAAGTTTATTCATTGTCAATCTACATTTTCTCGAAATGCAGTGTAATATTGAGTATTCAGTGGTCGCAATGTGTGCCTGTTAATTTAATTTTTTGTGAAAATATATTGCATAGTTGCTGATGATCCTGTTTCTCCACCTTTTCATTTTTCTACCTTCCAGCTCATTAACCCTGTTAATAAGGCTGCTGTTCTTCACTGCTGTAAGCTAGCGAAAGTGTACTTTTGAGGTGCCGGAGCTAGTCAAGCTGCTCCTCAGCTTTTTCTTCGTCTTCCTCACTATCCTGATGATAGATGGAAACCTACCATATTATTATTATTATGCTTAAGACTTCCAAATCTCCAATGAAATCTTATCTAACAATAAAGCATGTGAACACACTGAGTGTACTTTAAATGTCTAGATGGCTTTAATGCACAAACACATGTACATAGAAATCCCCAATGCTTGAATACAAAACACATTTATTCGTATTACAACCTTAAATTATGCTGTATACAATTAAGCAAGCTGCTTAGTAACTGATTGGAAACGCAAAGTGTGTGACAGTGGATTCAGAAACAAACAAAAAATTTATCCGCAACTAGATCATCTGTGCATCTGGGATGAAAGGGCTTCTGCATACATTCTCAAGTTAGAAGATTGAATGCTGCTGGAGGTTGAAAATGTGTGCTGAGCCCATGAAGCATTTCGAATTCAAGTGAAAGCATTTAAAGAGAGTCCGAAACTTTACGAAGGGATGGGTATCTATCGAGGTGGCGCACATGCTGAACGCCAGAGCCGAAGATTCCAAGTCTGGTGCGATTGCTGCCAAGTCTTTCAAGTGCTTCCCCACACACCTGGGAGAGCTTGGCAGCGACTAAAGATCTGACCTCCCGTCGAACCACAATAAGCGCGCCCACTTCGTCGCGAGACTGCTAACCTGACGCGATGCAGACGAAAGGGTCGCCGATATGTGACACACTAACGATCGCGAGGCACCTGAGGTCGGAGGACATAATACCTCTACGACGACGATAACAGACCCCGAGGCCTTACAGGACTGCAATGATATCATGCTTACTTTCCACGAGATCGTAAACCATTACAAAAAAACGCGACGACGTTACCCACCACCCCACATGCAGCTAGAAAGGGCTCAGGCGTCTGATCTGAGGCGTCTGCAGACCGACACATTTGAGAATCCCCGACGCCTGCATAGACTGTGTCCCTTGCTGCACCCATCACCCGGCCGTCCGTGGTGTGCGGGCACGAGACAGCCGACATGGCGCATATACTAAGGGAGTGTGAGTGCAGTGCTCGCCGCCACTACTCGGATGAGTGTAAGTGTACCCCAGGACGACTGGCTCAGCAGTGGTGAGCCCCCTTCTCAGCCCACGTGCAGTGGACCAAATCTGGGCTGTCCAGCAAGCCAGGGCTATCGCTGAAGACATCGCACGATGCTCAGCGGACGACAGCTCCTGGAGGCCTAGCTCGGGCCAGTAATTTCTCGTTGGATCCTAATAAAGTTTATTACCAACCTACCTATCTGCTGCACCAAATTGCAAGTACCGTGGTGGTATCCATGAGCACAAACCAGAAGCATGTCCAGCTTGAAAGCAAACATGCACCAAATGCAAAAAAAAAGATTTGCTTTGCAGTAGTTCTGAAAGGCAAAAAAATAGTTGCGGGCCTGGCAGTAGCTAGCGAGCACAAAGACTTCTTGGCAATCCATAACACACAACCAAGTTCCATCTCCACTATTACTAAACTGAATAGAAAGTCAATAAAATTTAGAGTGGTCAGCCGAGCAGCACTTTACCTCATCTCATCTAGACATGCATAGCAAGTACAGCCGTACAGGACACTTTGGACATGGAACTAAAGCAAAGTGCACTTTTAAAGCAAAACTTCACTAGAAATTACTACGGCAAATGGACAGAGGTGTTCTGCGTTTTGTAGCGTCAAAGAGGACCTCACTGTTCTCATTGAAAGAAATACAGCACAAAAATGGATCTGATAACTCTAGACTAGTAACCTCATGGCTGGAATCGATAAAATTTCCTAAGAATAGTTCATAAGTTCGAACACTTACCACGCCAAAGCAGCGACAAAGATGAAGAGGGTCAAAAATGTGGGCACAAAAAAGCCAGAAAGAGAAGAAAGAAGTAGTGATGGGGGGCGTGTAGCCTTAATAAAGTATCGGTGCACTGTTTTTGCAGACCTTTACAATTCAGATAGCAGAGAAAAAAAAAAAAAAAAGAGGTCTTCAGGAACACTCTAGGAATATTCTTGGTAACTGTTTATTGGGTCACTAGGCCAGATATGCTCCCGAAAGCAATAAAAAGTTACGGAGAGCTTGTCAGCATTCAACCACAAGTCGAAAAAATGATGATGAACCTGGAGAAAACAGGTGTGCATAATAGAGCCGACACAACGGGTTAGCAGAATTATTTTCACAACCAATAAAAACAGACAAATGCGAATATGAATCAATGTCCAAGTGCTCAACAAGGCTCTCGAGCAAGAACGGCATACATCGCCCATTCTTTATGATGTTCTACTTGACCTCTCTAAAGCCGAAATTTTCTCAAAACTGGAACTTCAAAAGAGGTACTAGCAATGTTATCTTGACGACAAATCAAGCTTGCTGACAAATTTCATAATTTTTAAAGGCCGTTACTGATGGCTCGAAGTGTCATTTGGACTTAATGTAAGTAGCAAAATATTCTACAAAGAAACTTTAAGTGGCCTTTGAAGGAATTTGAAAGAATTCTCACGGTTCTCTGCATCGCAGATGACATTCTTGTCTTAAAGTGAGCGAGAATAAAAGGGGCTCAGGTGGATTAAGACCGAAATCGGAGAACCTACTTTAGAGATGCCGAGATATTGGAATTCTTCTCAACAAGGATAAAAGACAACCTTGGGTTGCATCAGTCATCTTCCTAGCACACATACTGACCAATGAGGGACTCAGAGTTGATCCAAAAAGGATCAAGGCAACTCGACTGATGACAAAGCTAATCAATGTCCAAGAAGTGCAGTGCTTCTACAGTATAATGAACTACCTCTCTTGACTTCTGCCCAAAATTTTGTATGTACTGAAGCCTTTGATAAAATTCACAGTCAAAGATTGTATATACCACTAAGGGAAGCTTCAAAAAGAAGCATTCGAAAAGGCAAAATAGTCGGTGACAAAAGCTCCAGTTCTAGCCTACCACGATTTACAAAATCAGCTAGAGATACAGTGTGCTGTGAGCAGTCTTGGACATGGAGCAGCTCATCTTCAAGATGGACACCCTTTTATCAATGGTGCACAGGCACCGACGGAACTGCGTCACACATTTGAAAAAGAAATGGTGGCCATGCTTTTTGCTTTAAAGAAGTTTCGTCCGTACACATTCGGAAAACAAACGAGTATAACAGCAATCATAAATCACTGCAAGCAATCCTCAAGAAACGATTGCATCAAGTTCTGAGAAAACCAAAGTAAAGTGGAAAATTGGACTAGTTGAAACATACTCATTACGATCAGCACACAAAAAGGACAAAAAACACAAGAATTCGCATGACACAAGCGCTGTTTCCAAGACACTGGTCCAAGACAATTGCAAGGCATGATCTTTAAGAGACAAAAATACAGCATGAGAGTCGAGCACAAATCAGGCAACGAACTAGTTATGGCTGACACAATACCTTATGCTTTACTTTCCAGTGAAAGTAATGAACAGGCACTTGAGAACATCAATGTCATAAATTACGTCTATTTGAGAAATGAAACCTTGGGGATCATGAGAGCATCGATTGAGAGTGATGACTCACTGAAGACTTGAATAAATCATTCTGTCAGGCTGGCCACAACACAATCATGAACTTCTCAAAGATATGTGTATACACTTCACGTTCAGAGATGAGCTCGCCTTTTAAGACGACCCGTTTTTTAATAATTTATGCATAATCATCCCAATATCTCTGCGAGGGGGAATTAAAGTGAAATTTCACTCATTGCATCTTCGAATTGACAGCTGTCCATGACACGCTTGTGAATGCGTCTTCTAGCCAGGAATCAATTCAGAATTGAAACATTTCATCATGATGTATAAGATATGCCTAAAGCATGCACACACAGAGCAAAAAGAAATTATCACTTCATCCAGAACCAAGCTATTGACAAAAACGGGTCGGATGCAACATTTTCAAATTTAAGGAAAAAAGTTTCTGGTTACAGTCGATTATTACAGCAACTGCAGTGAAGACTGACCCAAAGTGATGACATCAAACTATGTAATACTGAAACTAAAGCCTACTATGCAAGGTATGGGATATTGAGGATTCTTATAGGTGACAACAGACTGCAAATAACCAGCAAGGAATTCTAAAACTTCACAAAGAGCTGGAATTGTGAATGCAAAACATCTAGCCATGGTTATCAGTGTTCCAATGAAATGGCTGAATAAGCCATCAAGACGGCGAAAGCGCTCCTCAAAAAGCAAATTCAAGGTACTCAGACAGAGAAATGGCATTTTTTGATTACAGAAACATGCCACTGCAAGTACTGAATGCTAATAATAATAACCATTGGGGTTTAACATCCCAAAACCACCATATGAATATGGGAGACACTGTAGTGGCGGGCTCTAGAAATTTTAAGCGCTGGGGTTTTTTTACTGTTCACCTAAATCTAGGCACGTTGGCATCAAGCACTATCGCTTACATCGAACGAACTCAATGCTAGTCTAGTGCACCTACTAATGCGTCACTGCACTATAACGAATGTACAAACAGCTTTAGAGCTACGCACCCCAAACAGTCGATGTGAGCGAAAGAGGAAAACACAAGAAGCGAAAAATCACGCACAACCACTGCAGACAAGCAAAGGGATTACTGAGCCTAAGAAGTCGGACTGTCACAGTTCAACCAATGAAAAGTGGAGCATGGGTCAAAGGCACAACAATCAAGAGAATTGACAACAGGTCATGTGAACTTCGGACAAAATACAGCGTCCCAAAAAGGTACAGCATATTCATCAGGGCAAGCGTTTCCCCAGAATAGCACATTGAAGTGAATCAGCTAACTTGAGCTACAAACAAACTGAATTTGAATAAAACTTCTGGCAGACCTGGAAGAGCCATACAGCTTCCAAAGAGGCTGGAGGATTTCACCGTAGGTTGAAAGATAGACTCCAAAAGTGAAAGTATGTTACAAGGATCCCGAGTCGGCGCAACCATCTCGTGCTGTGTATTATGCAAGCGGCACAGTCCTTCGGAATTCTCCGCTTTTCTCCTCTGTTTTTGTCTTCCTCCTCTATAGACTCTGCCTGAGCTGAAGTATCAAGTTGCATCTGGTCCTCCTCCTTTGAACTCTTCCCTGTATATTCCTACCTTCATGTTGCCACACCTATCTTT